CTTTTCTAACTAATCCAAATTGTGTGTTTTAGTGAATATTTATTTATTAACTGAAATCTAACTACAGCATAAAATAACTAAACAGTTTATTCAATAAAATACAATTATCATTTGATCACATTTTCGGTATTTCATTTTGCCTATTAACAGCCCAAAATATGTCATTTATATTCTTAAACAATATCACTATTTGGCACAAGAGTCTATTTACATAATAAATTGTTTCATTTGCCATTTATTCCAATAACTTGAGGACAATTATTTGCAACTACATCTAACAAAATTTGTACACATACCTTCAAGCTAAAATACTGCTAAAAATTTCCAACACACATGCAATTCAGTATGTTTACATATAACATTTTTTTTTATAAAACCTGTACCTCTAAGCACTTTATAAGATGTGAATACAGGAGCTAGTCTACCCTCTAAGGAAATAAGGTCTTGGGAGGGGAGATGTTGCTGAGCAATAGTCCTGTGTTCAATTGATTTGAAATGGGCTTGCTGGTTCAGACATTCAGTAATGCTATTGTGCCATCATAAAATTGTAGATAGCTAAATTCACATTAAACTCCAAGCAGACTTTCAAGTATAAGCCCTTAACAACCAGGAAATGGAAAGAACAAGCAACACTGACAAAACATACTCTTATTTTGCATGTGAGCTTGGTTTTAAGCAAAATTGATATTGAAAATCCAAACATACAAAACAGAGTGGTTGTTGTTTGCATTATAAAATGGTTTTCTGCCTCATAAAGGGATTTCCAAGCTTTATTTAAATGTCAGCTTCCTTAATGCACTTAAAATACAATTTGATTTATAAAACTTTAATTTATACACTACTTTTCCCAACAACCATTATGAGGAGGAAAGTAGACTTATACAAAGTACTTCAGTCTCTCTTACACAATTAAGTCTCTTATCATTGTGTCCATTAAAGGCATGTGAGCTGAAAAATTTCCCTTTAAGTCACTAAAATAGAAAGTAAATATTGCCTCTAAAACATGAATATTCCATAAAATTGAAGTACATCAGTGTTTTTTTTTTATATTTACACTTTTGGTATTCAACTTTACAAAGTAGAAGTAAATAGCACAAATATATAGCTATCATCAGGCCATAACAATGGCCTAAATATGCTATGATTTACCTTATTTTAGTGTGATTTTCCCCTTTAAATACATAATTCCAAAGATTTGTTAATAGCACTTAAATTGTAACCAATCTATTTATGATTTTTCAGTCCAAGATTTTACTTCAGTGATTTATAAACTAAACCTTCTGCATTGCATTACTGTCCCCACTGCTTACCTGGGGGTCATTTTCATTAATGTGAAGCTCTCCCTCTCTCTCTCTCTCTCCCTCCCCCCTCCCTCTCCCCCCTCTGTCCCTCCCCCCCTCTCCCTCCCCCCCCCCTGTGTGTGTGTGTGTGTTTGTCTGTCTGTGTACTAAGCTCCTTTCCAAATTGGGAGTTCCATGGGGAGAATGGGAAGAAAGGGGTTAAGTAACAGTGGGAGTAGGGATGAAGGCTTGGAGTGAGACATTTAGAGATCCTGTTTAATATATATCTGTGGCCCCTCAGCACACAACAAGCAGATCCAGGCACCAGGGAGGAGAGCACTCAACATATAGTGGATGAGTGCATGAATGAATGAATGAATGAATGAATGAATGAATGAATGAATGAAAGGAAACAAATTCAGTAAGAGAACCATCTGGAAGGTTTTGTTCATTAGCATTCAATGTAGTATGATTCTGGAATGTGTAGTGTCATAAAGAATTTGGAGGGTTTGAAAAATGTCAGAATATCTCTTTGATTCATTACATATCTTTTAAAAATCTGTAAAATATTGAGCCCTTTATTTAGAAAATTAAGTAACCTTATAAGTCAGAGGACAAAGAGGATATTGAAGAGTCTTTTTCTTACTCACCAAATGTCTGAGGAAAGAAGGCACACAGGTTGGCCTAAGTCCATACCAAACATTCTTGGCAATGGTGTCAAGGCTGAGGAATAGTATTCTTGCAAATTTTGTACAAATTTACCCACTGGTATATGCAGAAGCCATGAAAGCTACTAATTAAGCACTAAAATCTAGAATAATTACTATTTGGCATTTGTAAGGCCAGACATCTATTTCTGTTCCAGGCATGGTCCTAGGAATGCCATTACCTTGCCAGGAACCATTCTTGTTATGTCACACTCATTACAATTTGCTTGGAAAATACTAATGAAAATAAAACATCCAGCTAGAGGAGTTAAAAATATCTTAAAGTAAAATAGGTTTAAAAGTGCTCGAGCATATAAGAAAAACCAGAATATAACCAGTGGGAATGCCAATAAAGTAATTAAACTTGAAGTGCTTATGCTTGCATTTGATAGTAAAGATTAAAACACAAGGAATCTTATTATACTTTTAAATGAAACCATTTGGATCACACCTGAAAGACTTGATTTTAAAACTCAAAGTAGCCTGGCATTGTTGGCACATGCCTTTAATCCCAATACTAGGGAGGCAGAGGCAGGCAGATCTCTGTGAGTTCAAGGCCAGCCTGGTCCACAGAGCTAGTTCCAGGAAAGACTCCAAAACAATACTGAAAAACCCTGTCTCGAAAAACAAACAAACAAACAAAAAAAAAAAACCAAAAACTCAAAGTAAAGAAAACTAGAAGCATGAAAATGTTGAAATAAATAGTAATTATTGAGCTAAAGTGTTTACAGATTTGAGTTCTTACCAGGAGGCCTCTTCAAAATCATGAAAATGAATGAGAAGTAAAGTATATTTCATTAAGATTAATGAGCTAATTTTGCTATTAACAAGAGTGCTTTACTTTCAGGACAATAAGAACAAACACTGAAGTAGAATCATGTCATTAAAACCTAAAGACTATGTTTAATATGATATATGCTAATTTAACTTTATAATTACATACCCAAATAAGTGGCTTTGTATTTTGTATTGAACATTATGCCAAATAAAAGCAACTTTTAAAACTCCTAATATATATATATATATATATATATATATATATATATATATATTTCAGTCAAAGATGAGGTGATGAGGTGGTTTCCTGGAGCTATATCTATATATCCATGTCCCACTAAATTAGTAATCTAGTTCCTTTTGTATGAAATGTAAAATTTCTGTATTAACATATGTGTAGATCACTTTGACCCACCATTTTAAATTGTGAGCTCATGAATTTCAATGGCAATTTTTACTTTTAAACAAACAGCGAACATATAAGTCAGTCATTGTAGCTATTCGGGGATTTTGGATTGTTAAAACGTCCCCCCAAGTGTCCTTTCCTCTTTTATATGAACACAGTTATCTCCTGTTGTTTAAAAAGTTCATTTTTGCACCGTTAATTATTAATTCATATGATTTGAATTTAAGTAATTTCTAATTGAAAGCCTGTAGCATGAATTAATATTGGTAATGTACTATTAGTCATTTTAAAGCTTTAAAAGTAAGTTATCAAGATCCACTTCAATCTCCACATGATAATAAAGGATTATTATGTGCACTAACCTATTTATGAAAAGGAAACAGTGTGCTTCTTTCAGACGCCATCACTTGCTTTAATAAGGAATTGAAAAGCTGGACTACTTTATATGCAGATCACCATCCCAGTTGCATAAGGATTTACAATAGACAAAACGAAACTACTTTTTGTTGTAAAGAAAGGCTGTTTGTTTAAATCATACAATAATGATTGCATCTAAAAATTATTTACAGTCTAATAAGGCTTCATAAATGTTATATAGAGTTGGTTAGTTAAAATAATTGACAAGTAAGACCAAAACAAAAAGCTTGCTCAAGCTAACAAGAAATTTTTCAAGTAAAGCATGCCCAAAGAAGGCAGAAGGAAAAAATATGCTTACTGCTGTGGTTTAGGTAACTATTAATACCCATTGGAGATGCAAATAGTACATGATTTGATAGCACCTCATTAACGCTTCAATTATAGTCAAGAGGAAAATCTACCTTTGTCAAAAAATGTGAAAATTGAAAAGAATTTTGTGTCTAACTTTTGATCTTCAAAGAAATAAAATGTAACATATGCAATTTTATCTCTGCTGTCTTGAATTTGCAGAGAAATTATGTGGGAAGTTTTCATCTTACCTTTGAAGTCTTCCTTCAAGGTATTTAATGGCTCTTGTGTCTTGATTAAATGAGGTGTATGGCGGCCTCTACTGGTATGTGTTTATAGAAAATGTTGCAATAGGCAGAAAAAATATTAATTTCAATTAAAAAGTTAGAAATACAGATTTCCATTTAAATATATAAAAATATCTAATTTGATGCAGAAAAAATATACTACAAGTTGTGTAATGTACTCTTAATTAGTAAAACAATCTAAAACATTGACCATGTTAGTGTAAAATAATGATTTATGGAAGGGCATTAATTGCTCAATTCACTCTTGATATTGGGTTAAATATATTTTATTAATGAATTGCTAATACCGACAGAGGTGGCTTATTACCTCTAGTCCACGGTTAAATCCCCTTTCTTGACTTAAATAAAATCATTATAACAAACCCAGAATAAAGGAAATATTTTACATTTAAGTCTATAAAGTCCTAAGCTAGAATCATTTGATGACAGGCTGGTTTCTATAACTCAAGCAAACTGTACCTCGACTTAATACAGCTGACATATAGATCTATTTTACATTTATTTCAATTTTTAAAATACAACGCATTAAAATACTTTTAAGTTTCAAAGCTAAAAGCAATATTTAAGTAATATACTTAAGTGCAAAGGCACTTTAACACAAAGTAGCGATGCCCAGGCCTATACTTGGTAACTGAAGATGGCAATACCATAGATCATTATTTACAAAAGGAGTTGTAGTCCCAAAAGATCTTTGGAGATCTTCTACAAACTATTCTCATTTGAAAACTTTACCTACTATTCCTTCATTCACTATCATTTTTTCCACTCCCTCACTGGGAAAAAGAAAAGAGAAAAAACAGAAACAAAACCTAAAAATGCAGTGTAGAAACATTCATGTTCACTGGTGGTTCCTAAGAAGGGGGGTGGAGGTGGGAGATCAAGAGTAAAATAATTTAAAGGAAAGCTTGCAAGAGCAATATCATTGCTTCACCCCTTTTCCCAAGGCTTTCAGTCTGTCATTAGGACTGGGGAAGGGAGGACACAACAAAAGCAAATGCAGTACTTCCAACAGTTTGGAAAGCATCCTTTGATGCTATAGGGTTGTAAATGATTTCCCTTCACAGCTGACTGATTGCAGTTTGTTTTTCCAGAACTTCGAGGTAGTCTGGTTCTGATTGCCGCTTAGCTTGCAGTAAAGGGTGGTCTGGCTTTGACTGCCCCACAAAGCATTTCCTGGGAGTCCCATATAAAACCGTTTTATTGATTCTGTCTTGGTTTTGGCGTCGAGATTCATATGAAGGAGCAAACTGCCTTTTAGGTAAGGTACAAAAGTTATAGTGGACTAGACCTGCACTGGGGAGTTCTTTAACTCGCTCAGCAATATTCTGATAGAGCAGCTCAGGCTCTCTTGTCGTCGTCTGCTTTTCCAGCAACTCAGTGGCACTTATTGTATAAGCAAGTGTGGCTGGCTCTTCTTTTTTCTCCTCCAGGTTGCCATAGCTGAAGTCCTGCAGGTTTCTGTAATAGGCTACTGGGTCTCCTTCCTTTTGCATGTAGATGGGGTTTTGGCACATCTGACCCACAGGTGGGGGGATGTAGTTATAGACGTGACCATCAACTTTGTCATTTGTTTCAGTGTTGTAAGACCCATATTGTAAGTGGAAGGAACTTACATCTAAGTTGTTGGCACTCCTGGGAACAGTTGGCACTCCCTTGCGACGTTTCAGAACAAAGACGAACAACCCCGCCCCAAAACAGACAGACAGGATAAAAACAACAAGCAATCCTAAAATTAAGACAGAAAGTGGCACTTCAGTGTGTAGTTCAGGGTAAGAACTAGGAGACACACTAACTGACCTAGGTGTGTCTGTGTTGTGATTCATTGATAAAATAGTCCCATCTGACAAGCTAGGATCATCTGGACAAATGGCCTCCCTTCCCAGGAATTTTAGTATCTCCCCTGCATGCTTAGCGGGAGATTCACAAGTCACCTCATTGATGATGACAGGAGAATTGGCATGTTCGGTCCAGTCCTTTAGCCCCATAATGTCACAGGTGCAGTCCCATGGGTTCTCTTGCAGATCTATCTGGATAAAAGCAGGAAGCTGGTCCAGAACTCCTTTCACAGGCAGATGTGAAAAATGATTGTTTCTCAGATTCAGTCTGGTGAGGGCTGTGCCCCCAAATATATTATCAGGTAAGGACCTCAGCAGGTTGTTGTTCAGAAACAGGAGCTGGAGGTTAATCAAAGCATCAAAGGTCAGCGGCTTAATCTCCTTAATGACATTATACTCTAAATAGAGATACTGCAAGCTCTGCAGTCCATCAAACATAGAAGGATACAGCACTTCAAGGTAATTGCCATTTAGATAAAGTCTGCGTAAACTGGTCAAGTTCGTAAAGGCACCTTCCTGAATGACTGCAATTCTGTTGTTTCCTAAATGCAACAAATCCAGTGAACTGTATTCTAAGAGGTCATTCTTATACACTGTTTGGAGATAGTTCCCTGTTAGGTATAGTTTCTTTGGACTAGTAGGCTTGGGCTGTAGGTCAGAGATGTTAGTGAACTTCCTTTCTTGGCAGTTAACATTTAGACCATTTTCTGAGCTCTGAGAGGTACAAACACAGCTGCTGGGACAGGTGAGGGCCATGGGGGACTTGGTCTGGTACACCATGATGGGACCAAAGCTCTGCCGGTCTTTTGACACAGTCACTCGTGGAGTTGGACGATTTCTCATTTTGGGTGGCCGGCTTGCTTTTGGGGCCCTGGTTGGATTGAGAGCAGGATTCATTGTAGGGGAGAGTCTTTGGACATGAGTGTCTGAATGACTGCTCCTCGGACTAGAATCAGCACTTGCACTTTTTCTGGGACAGAGGTCCTGTCTGGTCAGTTGGGTCACATCTTTCCCATGTAACCTGAAAGGAGTTTCACAGACAATCTCCCCAACAAAAACAGTAATGGTGTCCAGCCATGCCTTGAGAGGAAGTAGGTCACAGGTACAATTCCATGGGTTTTCTTCAAGCTGAATTTCCATGATTCCTCCAATATGTTCAAGGACACCAGCAAAAGGCATTACTTTTAACCTGTTTCCCCTCAGGTCTAAGTGAGTTAGCAGGACAAACCGAAACACATTACTGGGCAGAGACAGCAAAAGGTTGTCATTCAAGATGAGCACTTTGAGCTTATTCAGTTTGCTGAATGCCCCTGCCTCAATGGTGCTGATGTAATTGTAGTCAGCTTGGAGATACTCCAGGCTCTCTAGGCCTACAAAAGTGTCCTCTCTCAATACCTCCAGTTTGTTGTTATTGAGGTGCAGTCTCTTGAGAGTCTTCAGACCGCTAAATGCCCCAGGTCGGATCTCCTGCAACCCATTGTTACCTAGATGAAGAGTCACTGCATTTGAGTAATTAACAAATTCGTTTGGATACAGTCTGGTCAAGAGGTTTCCGTTGAGAAACAGCTGATAGATTCGATACTGGGGGGGTTGGAGTAAGCTGACAGTTGTAAATCCTTTGTTTTCACAGTTAATATTCAGTACGTTTTCCTTCTCTTCGCACAGGCAGCGGATCTTGCAAATGTCTTTGGCAGTTTTGCGGCTCTCGGACTGTAAGATCCCGGCCATGGTTAACACACTGAGGAACCAAATGCTGCTCAGCATCTTTAGGCACCTTCGATGTCAGCTCAGGTACCTACAGGCAAACCTTGGAGGGACAAGGGAATAAGCAGGATGCAGGGAAGAAAGAAACAAGGAGGCCCGATTAAAATGGCAAAGCTAGGAGGCGGGTGGGAAGGGGGAGACTGAGGGGGTGGGCGCCAAAGAAGAACGAAATCAGCGCGTATTGTAAAGCAGTTTTTTCTCATTTTCTCTACCCACTCCCCCAAGCTCACCCACAGAACATGTCCGGGAACACACATGCTTGCACCTGATTTCCCGGAGGGTCACAGCCAGCCACGGAGTCATTAGTAATCCAGTCGTCCTACTAAATCCGGTCCATCTCCTCTTCCCCTGGGGTATTTTGAAGAAATCTCAGGCAGATCGCCAGTCTTGGGCTTGCAGTAGAAATTGCTTTACTTAAAAAACAAAACAAAACAAAACAAAAAACTGCATAAAAGAGGGGGGGATTAAAAGTCAGGGGCAAGCGGAGAGGACAGAATGGGGGGAGGCAAAGACAGCTCCCGGGTTGGGGGTACTCACATATCAGGAGAAGATAACACTCCCCTCCTCTTCAGTCCACCAGTAGTTTAGCATCTTAGGGGAGAGAGGGAGAGCAAAGTAAAAGAAGATGCCGCTTGCAGGGAGATGATCGGCTTTTTGTTGGTGATTTAATTTGATTGGAGAAGGGTGCGCAAAATTTCAAATCCTGCTGATGGTCAGAGAGGAGAGGAGGGTTGGAGCAGAAAGGAGCTGCGCCGCAGGGAACCAGAAATAGGATTGCAAAGGGAGGTTTCATCGACTGGGTCATTTAGGGGTTTGCCACAGCGGAGCCTGGGCGCGCGCTTTCAGTCCAGTGGCAGCAGCAGCAGTGCGTCTAGCAGTTTGAATTTGAGAGCTTTTGCAGGCTCCCCAGGACAGGACTAGGGGTGACGTCACGGGGGAGAGGAGTGTGGGCAGCACATCCAGGGCGCTTGGTGGGGGAGGGTGTGGCAGACGCTTCCCTTCCCTTTGAGTGGCTTTGTACAGCTCAATTCCCAGCAGCGTCAGTTGTTTCAGAATTACTCTATCTCCAGCTGGGCTGGCGGCAAGAGAAGCTCCTTGTGAACAGGAGTTTGTTTCTCAAGCAGGCGGCCCAGCTCCCTTTAGGGCTGGCATCACTGAAACTCCCCTAATCCAAAGCAGCCCTAGTTAGTGATCTCTTTTACTTGCCCTTTCTCATCTATACATTGCATAAGGACAGTTACCCTGCCATTAAGCCTGTTCTGCATAAAGACAGTTACCTGGCCATTAAGCCTGATCTCATGCCAGATCCCCAAGGCGGGATCCAGACCCGCCCAGGAACTTCTATGTTGTATCTCTTACAGGACTGATGCCAGCTAGACAGACTGCTAGCTGAGATGCTTTCGGTGCAGAGTGGAGTGTTCCTGCACTGGTGTGTCTGTGTGGGAGAAGAACTCTCCTAGGGGATCAATACGTTACATATAGAGCTCTGTTACAGTGCTTAGGGAATTACATTCTTGGTGGTGACCAGCCAAACAGCTATTTGCCTGGACTCTGGAAAGCCAGCTCAACGTTAACTGGTAGACTGAGCCAAACACAAACAAAATGCTTCTCCCCCTGAGGTTTATACTTAGCCGGATAATGAGGCTTAAACGTGTGCTTTTTGCCTGGAGGAAAGTGAAGTGGAGTGGGTGTCAGAAAAGTGTTGCCAGGCTGAGACTCAGCTAGGAGTGGGAGCCAAGGCAGGGGTTGTTGAGCCCTCTAGGCTGCAGAGACATAGAACCCCCATCCCATCTCACCCCCCAAAACAGGGAAGAATGCAGGGCCAGAGAACTGATTCCAGTTAAGAAAAGACTAAAAGGAATCATGAGCTGAAACCCAGAATACTAGGGTTCTTAATCTAGTTCTGTGGCCATGTATGTAACTACTTTTATGATCTTACCATTTCCATTTGCTAATGGTGGTAGGGTTATGGTCCTCTGGGTCCTGATGTTACATTTGGGTTCAAATAACCTTTCTAGAGCACCCCTAAATGACTAGGTGTTGAATTTTTGCCTGCATTATTTCTTATCTCCTTAATGTGTTATAACTCCTTGGATCTAGAGGTCCCAAGTGGAGAGCCCATTTGCACATGTGAAAAATGCCTGCTTGGGGGAGCTATAGGCAACTTCTGATGGAAAAGAAAAGTCAGGAAAACATATGGGAAAGAAACAGTAAGGAAAGGGACTGATTAAATGTGTCTATTCCACAAAACAATTCACCTTCCCCCCCCCCCCCCAGCCTCCTCAGAGCTAGCCAAAATGACAGGTAGGCAATGCCACAGGCAAAGTTAACAGTTTGAGAATGGAAAACCACCTTTTCTCTCCCCATTAAGTAAAAACCTTAAGACTGTATAGCTTATAAAAGTTCCTTGCTTTCTCATAAAAACATTGGGGGAGTTTATAAACTTCAGCAATAAGGCCACCTGTGGCACTGTAATCTCCTGGCCCAGTATGTCTGGTTTTCTCTCTTCCCTCTTCCTCCTTTCAAGAAAAGCCTTTGACCATGCTTCAAGATCGCCCTTCTTGCTGCCATTCCTCTTTGGCCTTTAGCAAGATTTATTCACTCTGGGGCCTTAATTGTTCTTCCCCAGGCCCTAGGGCAAGCATGAAAGGAACATCTCAGTCCTGGGAGTAGGGAGTGCAGTTGTGGATAGCCTTCCATTCTATTGCTGGTACATCATTTCATGCAGGCAGGGTGATTCCTTATAGGCAAAAATAGGCTCCTTTCATGAGAAAGGGAAGCTTTTACATGTATTTCTAAATATTACAATTACATTGTTCCTAGGGAGATATGATTTATTGACTCAGCCTTTCATTTAACAAACATTTAGCTAATGTGATAGCTATACAAAGCCTAACAAACCAGAATTATTTTACAGATTGGGACATTCTTCCACCAGGTGACCTGCTGACTTGGTTAACTTCAAGAAACTAAAATATTAGAAACAAAACAAAAGGATTCAGAATGACCTTGTATTCTCTGGAGCCCAATATTACTTAATATGAATTAGAGAATTGCAAATCTAAACTTAATGGGATATTTTACAGGGAAGTGCCCATATTTTGCTGCTAAAATAAATGCCATTAGTTTTAGTTTCCAAAGACAGTAAAATCTTCAAGACATGGGTAATGCTCTGCAGACGCTGCTTTGGAAACCAGAATCGTTAGGCTATAAATGAAAGGGAAAGAGGGGAGGAGGAGGGGAGAGAGATGGGAAGAGAGGAGAGGATTTGGGGGGGGGGATTTGACATTTCTACCACTTACACAGTAAAAGAAATTTAGTGCTAATCTAGCTATGGTGAGCCACAGCAAGGAGCCTGAGGTGCTGGGTTTTCATTCTATGGTTATCTTTCTGCAAGAGTCAATTTACTCTGCTACTATATCTTCTGCCTGTGTCTGGGCTTCTGTAGCCACTTTGAGAAACATGATCATTTCTGGAAGTGAACAAGTCTCAAACCCAGTGAATACTTTTAAGTAACTTTCATTTGGTCCAGTGTATTTCTAAGAACTGCTAAAAAGGGTGGGGTAGGCTTTTAAAGGAGCTAGAAGGGTTCAGAGTGACCTGGGACATCCAAGAGCAAGAGGGGCAGATGCTTAAATAAGCAAAATGCTGGCTCTCTTCCTTGAGGCAACTAGGGAAGTTGAAATGCATTCTCCACTGCCTCACCCTCCATTGTCACTAACCAACTAGAGCCGGGCTCAGGTCACCCAAGCTTTTTTTCACAGGTCACAGAGTGGGCCAGGCTGCAACAAAGAACCCACCTTCATCCCTGTGACCCTTATGGCTGGAGCCAGCTCAGATGCCCATCAGGCCCAGCAGCCTTCATCTCCAGCCTTCAGGCAGCCCCACACTAAACTCTCTCCCTTCTGGAGAGACCCAGGCTCTAAAGGAGTTCCCCTTTGCAATAAACGAGACTAAGCACAAGCTGCTAGAGTAGCCCTACCTTTCTTACACCCTAGCAGCTAACCTCTTGATGCCAGGGGGTGACCTCGCAGCAGCGAGGGCTACTCACTCTGCCTTTGCCACAGGGCTTGGACACTGAGAATGAATGGAGTATGTTACTAGCAGAAGATCTTGCATGGGTGATCACTAGCATGGGTGATCCCTGGCCATGAGACTCCTGGATTTCTACCACACCCACAGAAGGTCAGGGGGCGAAAAAGAGGGTACTGGTGGGAGAGGAAGACGCACAAGAGCTGGCCACGGTAGGTAAAGCCTAGCCACCCCAGGGTTCTTCCCACTTTGAGGCCAAAGGAATCCTGCTCAAGGGTCGCCTTGCCACGGCATTCCCGAGTGTTCTTAACTTACCGAGAGAGCTGTCTGTCTAGATCTTCCCCAGGCTCCTGAAGCATCCGCGACACGGAGAGGCTCCGGAGATCACACCGCCCCGGGTACCAGTCCGGCTGGATGTGCAGTGGCACAACAACGAGGAGCAGGCGGTGCCCCCCCCACCCCCACCCCAGGGCGGGCAGATCCTTGCTGTGCTGGAGCAGCTCGCCACACAGCAGCGCTTCTGGCAGGAAGGAGGGAGGGGAAGGAGAGAGAAGAGGGAGGAAGAGAAGGGTGGCTGCACTTATCAATCACCCCGCAGATCAAATGTCCCTGCTGTGCACTCCGGGAGAGGGATGTACCAGCCCACAAAGGAGCCTGCTCCAGTTCTCTGACAAGCACTGCAGAGCACTGCTCTTGCCTGTCTGCCCCCTCTAACTGGAGCTCTGCCCAGCTCTTGCAGCTTCGTCCTCGTGCTGCCCCTTAGACTATGTCTTGTAAAATGAGGGTGGTACTTGCTTGATATATCTGAGGGGTGGGAGTTATAGATAAGCAGAAAAGCAGTGAGCAATCTGAGTTAGTCACCTTCCTGTAATGCTTCTGCCTCCCTTAATTAGTAAACACCCGATCACAGGAGTTCCATTGCATATATTTAAGGGCCTCCTCTAGGCTGTTAAACAAGGTATTTTCAT